AGAATATAATGCAACTTAAACCAAAAAAAAAAAAAAAAAAAAATTTTTTTTTTTTTTTTTTTTTTTTTTTTGACTAAAGGTAGTGGAATTAAATCATGTGTGTGTGTGTATGGGGAGAGAAACCAAACAATATCCGGGAAAAAGATGAAAAAAAAGGGGATGGAGAATGATATGAAGTTAGTGGTAGTAACAGTAGTAGTGGTATTTTTAGAATATTCTGTCGTAACGACAAAAACAATGTTCCCAATTCTTTAAGGTAGTGGTATTGAAAATAACTATGATCTATATGTAGGAAAGAACTCTGAGAAAAAAGGTGAAATTCTGGATTCTGTTTTGTGTGATGTAATCATCATCATCATCAACCACCAGAAAGAAAAACCCAATTCCAAAATGATTTTTGGGAATTTTTTTTTTCTTTCCTCAAGAATTGCATTTTTTTCCATCCATGATAATGGAAAGTTTTATGTTGCGTGATTCTATATTTTATTTTTAAAGAAAAAAAAATTCTTTATATGATTAAAATTATATGATGATGATAACATCCATATAGTACACATTCATATATGGATTCTGGAAACCAAGGAATTCTCTCTCAACATTCTCTCGCTGATGGATCATATAGCGGAACAACATAATATGGTTGTTTGGTAAAATATACCTTTACCAATGTATACCTGAGGTTTGTCGATGAATGTCCTTCAAATTCTATGTTCCACGAATTTTTTCTGGTTTCTGACATAGATATGACCAACAAAACAAAAAAAAAAATATTTCCGTATTTGATTCGAATCGAAAAAATGAAATGGAAATAAAATAATTTCACTATATTGAATTGGTAGAAATCAATCTGTGTGGTTTGTTTGTTTGTTTTGCTGTCTTCCTTGCTTCAATTTTTTTACCATGAAAATCAATAAACAAAACAAAAAAAAATCGTTGTTTTTTTTTGGTTTGGGAATGATAAAAAACAAAAGTGGGCAAAATAATTTGATTAGTTTTTCTGTTAATCTATGTTGATGGTTGATTGACCGACCGAAACGTTTCAGATTTGAATGTCAATTTCGGAAAATTCTTTTTTTGCAAACGTTATTTCGGCTAGTAGGAGGAGCAGAGAGAATATATTGCCCGAATAATATTTTTTCGAATGACTAAATTTGTTGTTACAAGAGATAAATCATTCACGGGAATCATCATCATGATAATGATTCCTGGAATCCGGAGAGAAAGCGAGAGAGATAATGATGATTGTACGGCATACCAAAATACCCCATCATTATGGATGACCAAGAATAAATTTGTTTGGCTGAAATTTTCATCATTCGGCTGAAAAACAATTCTCAAAAATAAACATTTATCAAAATAAGCTGTCAGCATTCCATTTTTTGAGGAAAAAATTTTGAAAAATTGAATTTTTTTCAAAAAAAGAGAAAATGTTCCCGAAACCGGAATTTTCTCGAACAAAAAAAGTTTACCGGGAAACAGAACAATAAAATTCATTTCGAACGCACCGAATTTACATGTTTCAATTTTTTCTCATTATCATTATTATAATCATCATTATCGTTTTTTTTCGGGAAAAATTATTCATCATCAACATTGCATAGAAAAAGTTTTCCGTTCATCATCATTTGTCATTATAATCACCATATTTTAGAATTAAAATGACCATTTTTGCTTTTGTTTTTGTGTTGTTGTCCTGCACAACAAAATACAATTAACATAATTTGATTTTTGTCAAACGAAAAACAAAACAAAACAACAAAAAAAATGTCCTGCATGCATAATAATAAGATTAAATTTTTTGGCCAATTTGAATTTGGAATTTGTTTGCTGTTGTTGTTGAACTTTAACATTTGACGAAATTGATTGGACAATATTTTTGCGAAAACAACATCATCAACGTTAATGGATTTTGATTATTAGGGATACTGCGTGCTTTTATAAGGTTTTCTATATAAAAAAACATTGAAGATTTTCGAATGTCAACTAAACCAAATCAACGAACCACAATCATTGTCGCCCCAAATTGAATCCGAGATCATTGTTGTTGAACAACAACAATGTAGCTAATGATAATCATTAATGATGATCGATTGATCATTATCTCATTCAATCAGATTTTTTTCCCAAGAAATTCGATTCTTTTGGCTTATTATTCTTTTGGTGAGAGTAGGAAGGAGGAAAGGCTTTATTCTTTTCAACACAGTAGCCATAATCGATATTCTCTTTTTTACGCCGAATCAATATTGGCTGTGACAACAAATCACAAAGTCGATACATTTATCATTTAATAATTATCATCATCATTATTATTATCTTCGACTCAATATCATTGATAATGGAATGAGGGTGACATTTCGTCATCAACAAAAAAAACTTGATAACGATAATGATGATGATCGAAGCAAAAAAAACGAAAATTACCGAATCGATTTTTTCTTTTTCAAGTCAATTCAGCAATTTTATTCGAATTCGAAACTATTTCGACCTGATATTGACGGAGTGTGTCTATTTTGACTATAACATAGCGGCGGCTTAAAAGAGCATTGTTATTTTTTTTGTTTTTTGTTCGCGCTACCCATTTGCTGATTTTTGTTTTTGAATTTCAATTTTTTTGAAAGTTTATTTTTTTTAAAACAACGAAAATGTCAATCGGTGTACCAATTAAAGTATTACATGAAGCTGAAGGTCATATTATTACATGTGAAACAATTATGGGTGAAGTTTATCGTGGAAAATTAGTTGAAGCCGAAGATAATATGAATTGTCAGATGTCAAACATAACCGTCACATATCGTGATGGTCGTGTTGCACAATTGGAAAATGTTTTTATTCGTGGTTCGAAAATTCGTTTTCTAATATTGCCGGATATGTTAAAGAATGCACCAATGTTTAAGAAAATGGTCAAAGGTGGTTCCACAGCTAATCGTGGAAAATCGGCTATATTACGTGCACAAGGTAATGATTTTTTTACCTGAATCAATCAATTTAATTAATCTAATTTATTTATAGTGGCACGTGGTCGTGGTCGTGGTACGGTTAATCGAGCACCAATCATCCCAAGACGTTAATCGTTCATTATCGAATCATCATCAAAATAATCCATTTTTTCAAGTAAATTTCATCATAAAATGATTTTTTTTGTATCAATTTTTTTCGTGGTAAAAACACAAACAAAAATAATAATAATAATAATAATCTTATATAAATCAAGAAAAATTAATAATTTCATTGGGTGAATTTTTTTGTTGTTGTTTACTTAGAAAATTGCATCTTATAAATCAAATGGAATCCAAAATTGTTAGGTAAAAGTGGGGTGAATTCTTTTTCTGTTGTTTTCATTTTCCTATGGAAAATTGTCCAAAACAAAAATGTTATTTTTCCAAATTCTGTTGTAAATGTTGTAGAAATTCATAATAACTAAATGCTGATTCATTACGATCATCGTACATATATTGTAGAAATGAATATCGTAATCGGCTATCCTCTCTGTTTAAGAAAAAAAATTAATGAAAATCATCTGATGGTGGACAGAGCTTACCTCAATATATGAAAACTTGGTTTGAATGGTCGATCATTTAATAATTGTTCAATAAATTCATGAATATTTCTTGATGTTTCATTATCCAACAATGGTAATGTTATTAATGGACATTTTTGTTTTCGTTTTACCGGTGTAGTTGTCGTTTTCGCTTGATTATCATCAATATTTGAGGCTACATCTGCCGCTGTTGTTGTTGTTGGTGAATGATCATTACTATTTGTATCAATCGATGTTGTTGGTGATGATGATGATAATAATGGATCATCATTCGTTGTCGTAGTTGTATTCGTTGATGGAAGTTGATTAGGAATAAAACCATTCATTTGAGCATTATGATTATGATTAGAATGATTTAAATTAATATTCAATATTGGTGGTGGTGGTGGTCTGGTCATCATTGTTGTCAAGGCAGGTTGTAATTGTTGTTGTTGTTGCTGTTGTTGATCACCTTCATCCGGTATCTGTGACCATTGTGTTACATTAAAAACATCCGATAAAAATTGTGGATGTACCGATTTACAGATATAAATAAATAAATGATCATATGTATCCAATAGATAAACACCATTTCGATCAATATTAGCAAATGATAATTGTAATGGCATTGGTGATGATTGTTTCAAATCAAATGAATAATGTAATGGATAAAGATGGGGATAGATATAAAGCATTAGATATTTTAATGGCATCGATTTCATTTGTTCCATTGCATAAACACGTTCATCGATACGCGTTGATATGCCTAAACGAAAAGCCGTCTATAATAATGGTAAAATGAAAAGAATTCAAGATTAAAAAAATGAAAAACATCAAAATTACAAAGAAAAACATACATTTTTCAATAATGCCAATGAATATAATGGCAATAAACGTGTATGATATGAAATAAATAACCCTGGATATGGTGGTGTATGTATTAAACGGAATGCACTAATCAGATCAATATTTGCATTGATTAATGCTTCACGTGCATCCTGTATTGATGATTGACATGAACGATCGACAGCCATTTTTGTTAGTAATGATGTTATTGCATTATGATCAGCTGAATCCATTATATCGATTAAATCAGAAACAACAGGTAATGCTATTGTATGTACACGTATACGACGTTCACCAGTTGAATTTGTATATAATAATGCAGCTTGAAAACAAATTTGATTAAAATCACGTAAATCTTCCGAAATACTTAATTGTATTCCATATGCTGAATCGGGATTAACATTTGGCAATGCAATCAAATCGGTTGAACGAACAAAAAAATTTCCATGAAATGTATGTATTGTAATACCACGTGTAGAACGTAAACGCATTACAGCTTCAAAACCGATTGATCTTGTTAGATAATGTTTCATATCTTCTTCAAAACGAATATTCATTGTTGATGATGAATTTGTTGTTGCTGTTGTTGTTCCACCACCAGTACCGGTACCGTAATATTTGATTGAACCTCCACTATATTTGGATATTGCAGCTACTGTGGCCAGATCGGAAAATGATGGTGAAAGATTGAATAAATCGACTGTAATTTGATGTTCCGAACATTCTAATGCTAATTTTTTGAAAAAATCTGTTGCCGGATTCAATAATGGTGTTAATGCTTGATTCGATTGATTCGAATTAATTGTTCGTTGATTTGGATCTTCACGATTCTGTAATACACAACCATCGGATAGATTACCGGCACTTGGCAGACTAGTTTGTATCAATGTTATTCGTCCACCATATGGTGATATTAATTTCACTGCAACTTGTAATGCTGGACCTAATGCTGATTGTTGATCGGCAATTATTTTACCCGATTCATTTCCATTATTCAATGAATTGCATGGAAAATTTGGCAATGTTTCACGTAGAAAATATTCAATCTTATTTCGACATGAATGAAATTTTACCAATAAACAATCGGCATGTGGTAGAAAAACATCTATATTTTGATGAAAAATTAATCAGAGAAAAAAATTCAAGTTTGAAAAAAAAGTATACCATGAATATCAGGCATAACCATATGAACAGGACGATCATCATTTAGATTGAAAAAATGTAATTTCGAATCAAATGCAATAAAACCGATTAATGTTCTTGAATCACCCGGTATCTGATCTAATGATGACAGTAAAGCTGAAGCAAAATTTCTAATATAACCTAATTGTATTGCTGATGATGTACATTCGAATACAAACAAATAAATTGCTGGTTGTGGTGGCCGTACCATATATTCAACACTGGCAACAAATTCAATTGATCCATGATTAAGCTCTGGCCTAGTCATTATATCAATATGTTGACGGCTATGATAATCATAGATGAATTCTTCTGGTACTATTTTAAGAAAAAATGATAAATGAAAACCAAAACAAATCAAATTCAAATCCAGATACAAACCTTCATTAATACGATGACATAGATTACATTGCCAACGTCTTTGATCCAAAAGTCGTACATAAGGATTGATATAAGTACGACATGATCGACAACGTACAATAACCGTATCCTGTATGACGGGAATGTTCTACAACATTGAAAAAAAGAGAAGAGAATTTTATTATTTGAAAAAATCATTTTCATTATTCAAATACGAACCGGATCATCTTTGAATGGATGCAATAAAACACCTAATGGTAAACGTGATTTTTGTAATAATGATGCTGTTTCAGGTATTTTATTCATTGTACAACGCATTACATCTTTATCACAGCTTAAATCATCACGTTTTTGTTGTTGTTGTTGCGGTTGCGATTGTTGTTGACGTTTTTGTTGTATAGCTTTTGTATAGATATCTTTTTCAGCTAAAAGATTTACCGCTTCTAATCGGCTAAACATTTGATTCCAACCTTGATTGACAACCATTGAACCCATTTTTTGTGTTATTTGATCCATTCCTGAATGATTATGATGTTGTTGTTGTTGCATTGATGATGGTGATGGTGGAATTTGCTGATGAGATTGGTTCAAATTTTGATTCGCTGTCGTTGGATATTGAGGATAATGAGATAATGTTGATGCGGGAATCGTAGATGGCTGACGCTGTTGTTGTTGTTGATTATTCATCATCATCATCGATTGAGTAAGACTTCCATATTGTTGTTGTTGTTGTTGCTGCTGCTGCTGTAGAGGTTTTTGTGGAAAAGGATTCGATTGCGGATATTGTTGTTGTTGTTGTTGCTGTGGTTGTTGAGGTTGAAATTGTTGAATATTATTGTTGTTGATAGATGGATATTGGCCACTATTCGTCATCATTGTCGATGATGATGATGATTGTGATTGCGGTGGAAATGCATTCGGATACATCATCTGTGGTGGTGGAAAACGGGACATGTTTGTTTTTGTACTAAGGAGTTTTACGTAAATTACAATTAATTTAGCTTCAAGGTTTTTTTCGACAACAACAAAAATTTAAATAAGAATTGATGAATGAATGAAAATGTGAGAAAAAGAAAATGAATAGAATAAAATTGGTCGAGCAAAAATGAATTCAGTTGAAAATTTTAGAAAAAAAATCCAAATCGAATAATAAACCAAACAGAGTAAAGACACGTTTGCTTCTTTAATTTTTTCCTCCTTCTGCTGCTGCTGCTGCTGTACTCAAATCCAAATTCACAAGTTGAATGTATCATCAAATGATGGAAACACAATAAATTTTTTTTTAATAAAGAGGATGATGATGATAATCGCAATCAAATTTATTTACAAAAAACAAATGAAAAAAGTGAGCATCCAAAAAGGCCATAAGCTAACGTGTATTTCTTGTGTGTGTGTGTTATGTGTCGGCCTTTATAATTTTTTCCATCAACATTCGTCTATTGTAACTTTGATAGGCTCACCAATGTGTATTTGGATCGAAATTTATACAGTAATTCTTTGGAATCAGAAAAAAAAATTTTTTTTGTCAAATTTTATCGTTGTGTAATTTCTGTTCCGAGAAAAAATTGCAAAAAAGGGGTGAAATTTTTTTTCGAAAAAAATTATTTGAATGAAATCGTCGCCATCATTATCATCATCATTATCATCTGTCAATCGATTGGATCGATTTTCACAATTTTTTTTCCGAAAAATATCGATTGTATTGTTTTGTTTTCTTGCTTCAATTTGACAGTATATTTACGTTTTGTTGTTGTTGTTGTTATGTTTTTCAAATGTCAACAAACGACAAATTGATGAAAATTTTCATTTTTTTAAAAAATATTTAATTTGTCATAGTAACCAAATGGAATAAATCAAATTTTACAGGAGAAGAAAAAAAGTGTTGATCTTTTTTTTCAATCAATCAATCGATCAATATTGAATCAATATCGTTGAATTTTTCACTATTCGAATCGAATCGGATGACCACACCTTCACCATCATTATTATTCGGAGAAAGAAAAAAACTGAATTTATTTTAAGAAGCAAATGTATGTATTCGGTTGTATCAATCAGTTTGTTTATTTAATAATAATTTTTCATTATCATCATTGATTTATGATTAGATTTTTTTTTGGCTTGTTTGTTGCTACTCACTATCCTTGTGTGTGTGTGTGAATGTGAGTGTCAAACATTGATTTGGTTCAAGTTCATCATTCGTTGGATTTGATTCTATCGAAAAAAATGGATCGAATAAATGGGATATGGAATTTTCATCTAGATTCATCAAATGAAAATATCCGGCAAATGAAATTCTATTCCACCGTTACCGGTGCTGTTATTCTACATATGTTGATCGGTGCCGTTCAAATGGGTAATATCATCACCTATATAACATCATATATGCGTTTCTATGTTTCAAAAGATAATAATTATGGCCGTAATACATGGATATCATCAGTTATAGTTTTAGCATTCACTATATTCACTATTATCAGTGGCTATATGACTAGAAAAGTTTCATTTCGTGCTGTTATTTTTCTTGGTGCCTTATTGATTACGTAAATATTTTACCTAAAATCATTCAAATCAATTTATTGTTTTTTTTATACCAAAAACAGATTAGGTAATTTTCTTGCATCATTAGCAGTGAATGCATCATTCGAATATCTAGTCGTTACATATGGTTTTATTCAAAATGCTGGCTGTGGTCTTATCTATTCGATTGTTATTGTAACATCAGCAAAATGGAAACCTGAATATCGTGGTTTTATTGCCGGTTTGATTATTGCAATGGATTCAATATCAACATTCATTACAATGGAATTACAAACAATGTATTTTAATCCAGATAATATTCCACCGGATGATCGTGGTTATTTTACCGATCCAGATATTCTTGAACGTGTACCACATTATTTTCGTTTTGTTACCATAATCTACATTATTATGGGTGCCGTTGGTACTTTATTAATGTTTGTTCCACCGGCTGATGTACCACAACCATCACAAATTAATGTTTCACAACAACAAACAACAACAACAGCGATGACTATTAGTGAAACAATCGATAATAATCAATCATCATCAATAATAAATGATGGACCACAAGGTCTTCATCATCGTCATTTACAAGCAAGAAATATTGATGATATTTTATCCAGTTCATCGGGAATTTTTCCATCAAGTTCATTAACCGAAAATCTTATTGAAAATGATTATCTTGGCATTCTGAAAGAACAATTTGATCATGATGAAGAATATCTTTCAAATATAAATGCTAATCGTACAAACAATTCATCCGATAAAGATTTAACCGATATGAATAATGAACGTCGACCAATTGTAAAAAATTATTATGGTGTACGAAAAGCATTACGCACACGTATGGCAATGATTCTATTGATTACGTTCGGTTTGAGTACAAATTCATCATATTTTATAGGAGCCATGGGTAAACCATATGGTCAAACATTCATATCGGATGATCATTTTCTTTCAACAGTAATTGCTTTTGCCAACATTGCCAATTGTTTTGGTTCATTTTTTTGTGGCAAATTATTGGATCGTTTTAAATTCAAACGTACAATGATATTTATCAATTGCCTAGTATCAGCATCATATTTTAGTTTTATATTTTCCTATTATTTTGCTCATAAACTTCTGTACACCATATGGATTATGGTTATCAATTTTGCATCAATAGGTTTTTTCAGTTCACATTTACCTGAAGTTATGAATAAATTTGGTGCCAAACATGCTACAGCCATTTATGGTATCATTCATACTGGCCCGGTAATTTCATCGTTAGCATTGAGTCCTGTTTTTGAATTATTAATCAATTATTATGGATGGTTTCCAACATTTTTAACTGTTGGTTTTCTGAATTTTATCAGTAAGTTATTTTTTAATTTTTGTTTTTTCAAAAATTGACTTTTCAAATGTCAAACAGGCATGGTAATCATCATGATTTTCTATCGGGCTCATACGGTCATTTAAAAACACAAAAGGTTCGAAGCTATCAACGATCAATGCACAATATTATTAATAATAATCTAGGGATTTTTTATTTAAAAAAATTTGATTTATTTTAAAATATTTTTAACTCGTTCGCTACCAGCGCTTGAGAAACAAATCTTTAACCACAGCCCATGGAATTTTTTATAATAGAACTTTGAATGGCAATGATTTTAAAACCAACGCATATTTGTAAAAGTAATTATATAAGAAATTTGAAAAAATCTAATTGATAAATAAATGTAAAATCTTAAACGACGAGTATTTGCATTTATGTAAAAACAAAAACGACGCAAATTTGATCAAATGTGAATACAAAAACCAAGCATATTCGATCAAATGTAAAAACAAAAACGACGCAAATTTGATCAAATGTGAATACAAAAACCAAGCATATTCGATCAAATGTAAAAACAAAAACGACGCAAATTTGATCAAATGTGAATACAAAAACCAAGCATATTCGATC